TCAAAGTGAGGTGGTTTTTTCTTGGAGAAAGGGGAAGGACATGGCCAGACACAACATGCTTCACTAATCTAAACCTCTTGTTTACCATTAGATTCTCGCACAACCTATGTGTTTTTTGTCACACCGTTTAATTATTTGTGTGCTTTTGTACCACATTTTAGCCACTCATTCCTCACAGAGCCTACGCACTTTTGTCCCACAGTTTGACCATTCATTCCTGGCCAAGTGACCCACAGAGTACCACCCACCAGAGGCTCAGAGGTATTCAAGAAAGTACATCATGAATACAAGAGCAGTATTTCTTCAGAAAAATCTATGATTGAAAGCAGACAGTAAATAATTTCAAGAGTCATGTTTCATCACCAAATGAATATGGGCAAGGTTAGGTTTGATCACTAAATTAGTGGGGAAAGTCTTTCCATCTTAAACATTTTTATGTTTGAGAATTACAAACAAAAGGCCATGGACCAGTATTAATAAAAAACATATCTGGAAGCTAAACAAGTGTTCATTGAATAGTTACCTTCTATGTTTCTCATTAACACGTATATTAGTCAGCTTTAAAACAGTGATAGAATCAACATTTATGATATAAAAGCAGAAGGTATGTGATAAAATGATTAAAACAAGTTTCAGAACTGTGGTTTATCCATTTTTTTCTGTGCAGCAAAATTTCTGGTGACATTTATTTGTCTTTGAGAGAAATAATTGGGATGCAAGTCTTGAAGTCTACCAGGAGGAAATATACAGATTTTACAGGATATGCAGGGCTTGTTTTGATCCTAAAATTTCTATTCTAATAAATATAATCTTTGTACTTCGAGGCAATAAAATTTATCAGTGTAAAAAATGAACACTAATTACTGAAATGGCATGATATTTGGGAACAAAGATATCACTTCCAGGAAGGTAGAAGAAGAACAGATTAGGGAATATACTTTGCAAAAGAGTCAGGTATCAAGGTAAAAGGCGGCTAAGTCACACCTGAAAATTGTATCTATTCACAAAGCTGTTATATAAAGAAATCTAAAAATAAAACATGTACTTTGAAAAGCTCAGGCCATGAAACTTCAAATTCACAAGAGAGGTTCTAATTACTTAATATACAAAATAGAAAACCTTAAAAATTGGAAGATAGACTCTGAAAGTGGTTTTTAAGATAAGTCAAAAACCATGAAAATCCATGCATGTGTGAAAGAACATATAAATTATTCTAAGCAATTTAATTGTAACTTTTCTATGTTTTCCACTTTAATTAGTTTATGTACCTATGTGTTAGGTCACATAAAGCATCTAATTCCCAAGGTATTTGTAGGTTAAAACTACAGTAAGGATTTTCACTTCCCACCAAAGTAGAGTGTTTGAAACCAGATTTACCCTCCCACCCGAAACAACTAAAAATAAATAAAAGATATCAATTAAAACAATTTTGAAGACACTAAGTATCATGCATTGTGGGACAGTGATCCTCGGTAGATGGGAAACAAAACAAGTGAGACTTTTGTTAGGCCTCCAGCATGCCACTTTGGAGAGTTTCCAAGCTGTGACTCTGAGAGAAGGAAAAAAGATGAAACTTGCAAGGTGCTTCAGTAAGACAGTGGAGGTAACAAATCAGAGATGAAGAAGGCTGCAATCCTCCAGACAGAGAGCTAGAGAATGATACACAAGGACAGAAACTCACAAAGCTACAGGCATCTCCCTTCAACAGTCTCCTCGTATTTAATTTAAAATACTTTCATCTTTCCCCTCATGAGCTATTTCTGATATATTTTTTCTCCTTTTTCCTGTTTTGAGCAGTTTGATTTTGACTTGATTTATTTTGTTTCAGATTCCTATATTTTAGTTATATTGATCACCTTGGTTTTGTCAGCTTATGGTTCTCAATAAACTTGGCAAATTTGTTCTATCTCCCTTCCTTCTCACCACTGTAGTCCCTACTTACTTTTATTTTAGGATAATTAAAATCTCCCTACAGTTTACTAATATTATTGATTTCTATGCTTACTGGTTCAGATTTTCTTTTTGATTTTTTCTCCGGAGTTTCATTTAGATCTTTCCACTACTAAATTAATATTTTTCTTTTTAAATGTACAATCTTTCACTAATCACATCCTTTAAACTTTTCTTCTGGCACTTTATATTTATCTTTAGAAGTTCAGTTTGGACCTTTTATGTATTCCTTCCATGATTTTTCTTAACTTCTGAACTTGAGAAATAGTTTATTAAAACAGTTTATGTGTCTGTGTCTATTAGCTATAACATCTGTGTCATATGAGAGTCAGTTTCAACTGAATGATCTTTAATAATCCTAAGGATTGTATTTTCCTGTTTCTTTATAGTTATGGTAATTTTTGATTGGTTGCCTGGCATTATCAGTTTTTCTCTGCTATACAAAGTAATGTTGAATTGAGTAAAACTAACAGCATAGTATTTCAAAATTTGTGGGATGCTACTAAACATTTTAGGGGAATATGTATTCCACTATCTCTCCTTAAACCAACAAGAGGAATGTTTTCAAAGGCTGAGCTCTCACCCTAAGAAAGTTAGGAAAATATGAGAAAATTAAGTCTACACTAAATAGAAAAAATAACAGAATCAATGAAATAGAAAAATGCAAAATGTCAATCAAATAAAAGTGCAGTAGTATCGATAAGTAAAACAACATGAATCAGTCTCAAAATAATTATGTTGAGTACAAGAAACTGAGCCAAAAGAGGAGTATAGTCCATATTATATAAAATTACAGAAAATGAAAAATAATTTGTAGCGATAAGAAACACATCCACCATTGCCTGAGGGTAGAGGAAACGCTAGGGAAAGAGAGAGAAGAGTGTAAAGGATTACAAAATGAAGTGTGAAAACTTTTGAAGTTGATGGATATGCTTATTATATTTATCGTGATTATGGTTTTATAGTCATATACATATGTCACAACTCCTCAAATTATAGTTTATATATAACTTATTTTATGACTGTTATTTCACAATAAAGCTGTTATTTGAAAAATGTACTGAGGAAACATTTGACAAATGACACACACACAAGGTTATTCCACATAAGTTATAAATGTAATAAATTCAATGCAATCTTAATATCTAGGGACAGGGGACTTGTGAAATTATGCCATGAATTTCTGTAGGAAAAGATAGAATCTGTTTATGGATGGCTAAGAAACTATTTCTATGATATATTAAGAAGTTCTCATATATACAACTGTCAAAAAAAAACTGTATTGTTTCTATATTTGCAAAAAGGCAAGAAACATTTGCTATATCTGGAAAGTATACATAAGAAAGTAAAAGCTTTGATTAGAATTGGCAATATGACCAGAGGAGTAAGAATAATTTTTAAAATTTTATACATGTTGAACTTTTCAATCTTTGAAACATGTAAATATCTTATCAACTCAAATATATTTTAAGAGCTCCATAAATATTGTATCAAACTGATTAAATTTCATTCTAGAGCTATAATAATATAGCTTGTGCTCTGAAACTTTGGAAAACTTAATTAAGCTCTGTCTCTTAATTCCTCAAAAGTGAAACAGATATAAAGATAGTGTCTCCTCATAGAATTATTATGAATATTAAGTAAACCCTAAAAATAGAACCAGCCACATGGCAAACAAGCAATAAGTTTGATATTACTACTATTACAGATTGAGTCTAGGGAGGCTAGTTACGAAGGTCCTTCTTGTTAAAAATCTTTAAGTTATATCTTTGAAATTTTGCAGGTTGAAATTATGATCATCTCCTTTCTTATACTAGACTGACTCATTAACTCTAGAGAGCAAGACTATGGTTTACGGGAACACAACACATATTGCTTCAAACAGATGGTGCTTCAGAAGTAGCTCATGGGTCTTGAAAAACATTTCTTATCTACCCCATGCTAATGAGTCATATGGTGTGTTGCCACCATTAGTTATGCCATCTATTGTGAGTGAACAAATAAATATATATAT